GCAGTGGCAGGTGACTGGATTGAAAGGTGCGGAGGTCATATGGCACATGACGGTCATTTCGGTTGCCTGAACAAACTGGCCAATCAGCCAACAGCTAGTGAGAAGGCTTTTGAGTAGGAGGGCTGTTGATGGCTATTCAGAATAGGTACCCTTATTATTGACTGTGAAGTCTTGAAACAGTCTTGAAACAGGCCACAGTTTCAATTTGGTTTAATAAGACTTTGATATTGGCGCTTGCACCCCCACTGGAAGTCAAAACACGAAATGGAATGATGTGACAGTCTGAAGCCTAGAATTTCTCGACATAAATGCCAGAATCAAGTTAGCTTAAATGTTTGTGAATGTGTTTAATCATTAGAAGTTTACTTTGATCAGGTGTCTGATACTATTCATATATATTGACTATAATTTCAGTTTTATTGGACTGAATGTTAGATTTTTGACATTATGTGTCTGATAGGCAAGTGTTGACGAGTGTTGGTTGGGTGCAAACAGTCGGCAGGAAGCCCCGTCTGACCGACGCTTTGTGGGCATTGGAACTTGTCAGCTAAGTGTATCGACCAACTCAAAAGAACTAATGCCCACTGTGAGATTCGAACCTACGTCACCCAATATTGCAATCAGCAAGGTTATCACTGAGTTATTCGGGTCGAGATTAACCTCCTGTAGGACTGGATTGGGCACTATGATTGGTCACTGAACGGTAACCAATTTCATGTTGTCTAGTTCTAAGTCCTGACCGAACTCTGTCGATCATTTTCCAGTGTGGTCATCATGGTAAGAGACTAACCATCTCGGTGCACTTTGACAGAGACAGTCGGCAAGAAGCCCTACCTCACAGAGGTTTCGAGCTTGATGGCACGAGTACAGTAGTTGCACGATATATAACTGACTGATGTGGAATGATGTCAGGGACTAGATTCCCACTGAACAACTTAATGATAACATGATTGTCTAGCTAACTGATGGCTATCAACTCAATTTTTTGTACTGTCTGAGCAATCTTAAACCTCAATAAAACAGCTGTCTATTGACCACTGATCTTCAGTGGTTTTATTCAGTCTTTATCCACGTATCATGAAAACCATCTTGTACCCCTAAGGGAGTTTGCTTCTTGACTGTATAACAGTTTAGATAGTTTTTATTCTCTCATGTTGTCTAACCATGGGTGTAGTAATGTAGATGAAAGTGTAAATTACAATTGATCCCTAAAACTAAACATTATTTTTTTATTATTTGTCCTTTGGGTTCCTAGTGGAACATAGGACTCCACTAGCACGTCTTCATCGCACTCTCTTCTGTGCAGTCTATTCAGCCTGGCTCCACGATTCCCTAAAAGCTATCGTTTCTTCCTCTCAAGATCTACTCCATGTCACCCTCGCCTCGGACGCCTATCTCGTTGTTTCCCTTTGGATTCCACTTGACGGCCTGGCATGTGATGTCCCCAAACCGTCTTCTCAGTGCATGCCCAATCCATCTCCACTTTCTTTGCTTTTGATTTGAATCTTGCTGTCATCATCATGATCCTACAAGAGGAGATTGGCTCCCACTGAATAACAGCCTTCGATACTCTTGGGGATATCATGATAACCACTACAAAACTCAGTGTGCTGTGCTCGTGGTTGACGTCTGCGTGACAATATCAAAGTCGATTATTGACTCCTCTCCAGTTGACAGTTTGAAGAGTTCACTTCCATTCCATCTGCAGATTCTTCTCAGATTCCTAACATAACACTCCTATCCCATATCTTCCCATTCCTTCTGCAATCTGGGAAGCCTTGCCAGACAGCCAGCCAACCAGCCAGTTTCAAACATTGTCAGGACATTCCATGTCCCCACACTTACTTTCACTTTCATTTTTAATATTTTGTCAGTGCTGTGAAGTTTCTTTAGTGATTGGATTTGTTATACGGAGTAGGGTTGCTAGCCCTATGTTCAACCTTCCCTCTTTATCTGGGTTTAGGACCGACTAGTAAACTAGGCGAGGTTGGAGCTAAACGTCAGATAATTATAATACTTAAGTAGTAAAAATATTAGGCCTTGTCAACATCCTTTTTGTCTATCTTCTCAATGTCTCATTTTCTCACATTTTATTTTTCCTACTCGGCTCTGTGTCTTCTCCCATCTTCAATCTTCACCAGTCGATTGTTCTCACTTCATGTATTCCCTCGTATTGTAACATACTATTTGGACGATTTATTTTGAATACAAAGTCCAGACTTACTTGTTCATGTACCTACAGCTTCCGCATTATGGGGAATTTTTAAACGAATGACAGGTGATAGAATCTTCAGAACGCGGTGTATTAAATTAAAGTTTGTGTTACCAATTATTTAATGTCCAGCTATGCTAGTGTAGAGTTTTAAATGGATTGGATCTCACCCTTTGCAAACCATATCGATAGATGTTCTCGTGTCATGAGATGGATATGTCTAATAGTTCGCCCAGCATAACTTGTTCCACAGGAACAGTTGAATGGATACATGCATGATGATGAATTCAAATTAGGAAAAGCATCCCTGAGTTCCGAGTTGAACAACGGTTGGCTATAAAAGGATAGGCACAGATGTCTTCAGTGAAACGTTTTATTTATTGTTCTGGATAAACCTTATGACAACATTTCACTCGGGTATCTCTTTTGAATTGTAAACGTAGAAACAAAACTTTTATTCTGCACTCCTGTCAAATCGTGTTTTAGAGGTAGTATTCATCGTGGACTGACATCACTTAGGGAACGGTTGAAAATCTGAAAGCACTTGACAGCTGTTTGGTCCTAGTATGGGACACTTCAGCAGTCCATGATGAATACTACCTCTAAGATTAAAAGTCCCCATTCATCTCAAAAATGCATTACTGCATAGTACTCATTATTGGCTTGCTTTCAGATGGATATCACGAAGCTCTAATGAGAAGCCGTAACCTGTGAGGTCAACCAGTTGGAAGTGAAGTGGATGCTAACTGAAGACGTTGGGTGATAGTCAGGCTATATGGTGAACTGACAGAAATTTGAAATTGTGAGCCACTAAAAATCGACCCAGTGGCTGAATGGTTAACGCGTTCGCCGTGGGAACTGGAGGCCCAGATTTCCATCCCTTGCCGGGTCTTGGGTGCATACTACTGAGGAGTCCTATAGTAGGGCGATAAAGCTGTCCAGTGCTCCCAGGTTTTCAATGGTTCCATAACTTATGTCAGTGCGTGATGAATGCTACCTCTAAAATTAAAAATCCCCATTCACTTCAAAAATTCATGTTTTATCAGTATCATGAGTGATGTTTGCTTTTAGAAAATTTTCAGGATATACATTCTCCTTTAAAATATTCTAAAGGACTCGTTATTCTTTCTTGACACATCCCTTCAGCAGACTGATTTTGCTCTAAGGGCCAAACATCTAATAAGATTTCGTTTGTACTTTATTGTTCCAAAGCTGAGGAAATGTGTACACTATGCCTCGGTCATCTTGTATGTCCTTTGTCTCAAAGAACCGTCTTCTTTTCTTATCAATAAGACATAAAGGAAATAAAGAGAATTATTGCCTTACATTCATTTGTAAAGTAAAATGCACGATGGGCATTACTGAAGTGTTCAAGAATCGAATCGACAGACTTGTATTAACTATAGACTAGGAATGTATCATCCATATACTGTCAGTAAAAATCTATGTTGGCGGGATCATTCTTCAGTGGTCCCTTTTTTAATTTAGATAAAAATTTATATCAACAAATATAGGGCCTAGTAGGGATCCCATCGCTACACTGTCCATTTGTTTGTAAATTCTGTTTTTGAACTGGAATCAAAGATTGATTGTGTACTTGACCAGTAACTTCCCCAAACTCTCAATAGGGATGTCTGTATTTATTTTCCTTTCGATCAGCTGTTCAAAGACATGCTTCACAGTTTCAACGGAAGAAACATTGTTAAATAAAGGTCTTACATCAAAAGATGCCATACTTATCCTATTAGCAAACTGTAAGGTATCCTCAAAACCATATCCGACTAGTACGTCTCGTAATGGCTGTAGAAGTTTTACCAGACACTTTCAATCCATATCCTAGATATGTTACATCCACACTCACCCGACCGATGGCTGCTGTTACCTTGACGTAGTGGTTCAGCTTGCATTTCAAAATGACCCAACAAGCTATGCTGGTGAAACACCTGTTCTTTCGAGGCTCTAACACACCAAAAAGGTCTGTTGGATAGTGGTTAGATAAAAAGCAATTGCCACTGCAGTGTAATTTAGGTAAATGACTATGGACCAGTGAGTCACGGGTTTGAGCCTAGCTCCACCTACTGAGGTTTGAGCAGCCAGGTAGTATCACTAGCCTTCACGCAAGAGGTGTGGCTTTCTGCCTATTGCACAAATGTGCACATGGTGGCTGGATGGATTTCGTTCTTTCGTAAATTTCTACGCTGTGATGGGGGTCTGAACATGAAGTCGTATACCTGACGGAACATGAGTGTGACAAAAGTAAGGTATTTTCCTTGGATGACTAGCATTGCTACACAAATGCTACCTTCCCTATGTGAAGGCGGGGGATAGAAAAGATCGACCCCCAAACTCCTTTAAATTTTAAATAAGCATCCCTGTATTTATTTTCCTTCCCGCCAACTGTTCGAAGATACACTTCACAGTTTCAATAAGCGGAACATTAGCAAATGTTACATCAAGAAATTCCATACTTATTCTGTTGACAAACTCGAAAGTATCCTTGACACCATATCTGAATAATTTATGCCGTAAAGACTGTAACAGTTTTTACTAGCCACCTTGTAATCCCATGGAAGCAAGCAGATCGTACTAGTACTAGGTAGATGAATACACAAATCTTACAAACAAAGAGTTACGCAACGATCTAACTTTTTATCATATTTCTTTGTTTTTAATAAAAACATGAAAATATTTTAGAAAATACTTTAACACCTACAGTGTCCTTGTCAAAATTCATCCTCGCCAAAGATTTGAATGTATAATAGAGATAATTTATCTTCTTTGGTTTCAGATATGCTGTTGACGCTACTCGAAATCCAAGGACAAGAAAGTCAAACATAGCTCGGTCTGTTGTTCATCCAAGATTTCCATTCCATACTATTTTATTTATTCAGTCAAATCTAACACAAGAATATGAAAAACTATGGCGTAACCTTGGAGATGCTTGGAATACGCCAAGGTAATTAATGGAGGTTTATAACTTTTTGTATAAAATTAGACTTTTCAAACTAGACAATTAGTATACAAGTATTATCTATATTGGAGACAATCGACAAGAAGCCCTGACTGACAAAGATTTCGAGTTTATGGGCACTCATCGACAAGGCGTACGTGTAACCTCAACGATATTGATTTACCCCTTGAGATTCAAACCAGAGTCTCCTAGTACTGGAGTCAACGATTTATGCTTAAAACTAGAACAAACCCTATTGCGGTTGATAAAAACTGCTATGATCGAACTCAAGGATTTACCATTAAAATTTTTGCACAAGACATTTTGGATATCGTTTAGATTGGATCATCACAACTTCCTAAGATTCATTCGAATTCAAACGCCAATATTCTGATTTTGAAGGTGGATCGTTGGTTATTTCTTCAATTCAACAATTGATACTCGTTAGAAAAGAGATACCACTCATACCAGGATGCGCTAGTAGGTAATTTCACCGGGAATAACATCACCCAAAGGGATGCGGATACATCTGGCTGAAGAGTGTTAAGTGAGACAAAGTGCATGTCATAAGTTTAACTGTTAGCAAACACATAAGGATTAATCAGGCAGGAGTCCATCTCTGGCATCATCATCATCATCATCATTATCAACATAGGACCAGGCATTACTGCGTAACGGTCCGAGTTGCCACACCTCATATCAGCACATCAAGTAAAAAGGTAGTGAGGTGAAGGATGAAGATAAGTGAATGCAGTCAAAAGAAATATAAAGTATGAGAAGAAAGGAAAGAGGAGTGACAAAATAGTGAGATTCGGTATAGCCTCGTTAAGATGAGGATAATGTGTGTATACATCTGCGCCACTGACTTCGGTTCTGAGCCATATCACCTAGGGTCTCCAACCACTGGTTCCTCTTGTCCCGTGGACCCCAACCACCTAGTCTGCATCGTCCTACATGGCTTAAACCAACAGTCAGAGACTTCATACACTGGTGCCATGTTTTAGTCTGGCCACCTCGGGCCTTTTTCCAGCCTGAACCCACCTCAGCCAACATTGTGTGACGAGGCAATCGGTGACTAGGCATACGTAGTACGTGTCCCAACCAGCCATCTCAGTCGATGAAGGTTCACAACCTCGTCGACTGACTTACCTCTTCTCCCCAAAACTCTACACCTAACTTCTGCATTACTCACATGGTGACACCACGGAATACGTCCTATACTACGAAGGCAACGGTGGTCAAATACCTGTAACCTTCTCATGTCTTCCACTTTCAATGGCCATGTTTCACAGCCATACAGTAGAACAGAGCGGACTGCTGTGCAGTACACGCGACCCTTAATAGACAAACGAATATCACGGCGGCGCCATAGGTGGCTCAAATTGGCAAAAGCCAATCGAGCCTTTTGTATCCGTGCAGAAATCTCATCGGCAACTAACCCACCGGAGTTGATCCTACTTCCCAGGTAAGTGAAGTGGTCAACACACTCAACCACTTCACTCTCTATTGTTAACCGCGGTACCGCTGAAGACCAGTCCTGAGCAGATATTTGCATTTGGGTGGTGAAAATCGCATCCCAAACATTCTCAAATTCCCACTCAAAGTGTTCAGAAGACTCTGCATCTTGTCAGCGTCTTCACCTAACAGGACTATGTCATCTGCATATTCTAGATCTAAAGAAAATTCACCTGTGATCCGGTCAACGTCTTTGTAATTAGGTGACGAGAGGCCATCTCTGGCAACAAACGTCTAATATAGCAATAAGGAATTACGAGTACTCCTCATCTCTACACACAAGCCTTGTATAAAAGTTTTAAAATAAACTTTATACTAACACTCTAAAACATGTTAATCTGTAACTCTTTTAGATAGAAACATTTAGCAGAAAGATCTGCTTATATTAAGTTGGTTACAATGAAAGCTATTCCAACAGTTAGCATAGGGTACACTAACCAATATCTCTAACAAAATAATCCATTTTATTACATTAACCTTATGGTTTCCAGGAATTTATGTTTCAAATCATTGTGACATAACTCATTTGATACTATTGTAATCAGTATACTATTTTTTTATCCAATCATTTTTTTGTTTTTCAGAGAAGAATATCCAGATGATAGTTTTATTTATGTACCATACTTTGACAATGGGTTTATCGTGAATACTGATGAATATGAACCGTCTTTATTTAATTATAAATCACCAAATGTGATTGATCGACAAGATGTAAGAAATGATTGGAATAGCATAAATATTAATACATTTTATGTGAATAATACTAAAGATAGACTGATAACAAGATAAGTGGTATTCATCATGGACTGAAAAATCACTAAAAATCTAGAAGAACCAGAGACTTGTTTTAACCTCGTATGGAACTATTCTGTGATGAATACCACCTTGAAATAAATAAATAAATCCTAAAATCCTTCAAACTAAACAATATAATTGAATTTAGGGATTTGTAGGGATTTAAAGATTTTTCAAATTGGTATTCATCATTGACTAACATCAGTGTTCATCAGTGACTAGCTTCGAGAGGTGATTTCTAAAGTTTCAACGAGAAGTTGTGACCAGTGATGGAAATCCAGTGACCGTGAGAACAAATACTCAACGATGACATTGGGTGGAGGTCACGCTATATCGTGAACTGAGATAAATTGAAAAAAAAAGAACCACTGGATTCCAACCTAGTGATTAGCTCAATGGTAACATTCTGGTCACGGAACTTGATGGTCGCGGATTCGATCTCTGATGGGCCAAGGTCATGGGTACGCACTGCTGAGTATTCACATACTAGAAGGAAACAAGTGTCCATTGCTCCCAATTTTCCTTTTTTCCTCCAACTGACGTCGATCTAAAATTCTATTTGCGAACCAAAAGCTCGATGTACTTACACCCTAGTGAGTAAGAACACAACTTTCAACATCTCATACTTTTATAGACCTATCACCTAATATTCTTTGTCTTTATTCGTAGCCAAATGTTCATACCTCTCTGGTGTGTGTTGCGTCATTCTTATTACATGTGTTGGGTGTTGGTTAATTCGTTGAACAAAGATTCAGTTATCAGTCTTTCTCTTCACCTAATTATATTGAATTTAAGTACAGTGATTTTATCCCACCCTACCATGTGACTGTGTACCAACGTATGCATTACAGTAGCCGAGTGACTTTCTATATTACTGATGCTGTTGCAGCCTGTCATTTTATATTTGGCTAGATTCCTACGTTCTGTTAATCTAACTGACTCCGGCTGCCTAGTTCGACCTATATACTTGACTTCACAGTCATTACTGGTCTACTGGATCTTTAATTTGAAAAAGCTTATCTCTAAGTGAGTTTGTAGGTTTAAATGTCACTCTAATTCCAATCCTGTTGAGAATCTTACGTAAGCCTTCTAATGTCCCTTACTTATCGGGTAATAGAATGGACAGAATGAACTCCTTTCTACTACTGCTGTCGTTATCATTCGTATTTGCATTACAGTTATCACTTTGTTGCCTATTTTTTTGTATGAATTTCTTGATAAAATTCAGAAGATAACTATACGTTTCAATTCCTTGTTTAGGACTCTGCACTGACTGGTCAACTTTCTAGCTCTATCACTTAGACATTTGACTAAGCCTTCCTTAACTAACATTGGATGAGATGACTTGAAATTTAGATACCCGTTAGAATGCGTTGGCTACCTGCAGACAGTGGTACATAAACCGCTGCCTGTTCTTTGTTTTACTCCGCAGTCTAATATAGGTAATTCTTCTTATTGATTTTCTATCTCTCAAGTGAATTCGACTGCGCCTACTACTGAGTTTATATATGTAAGGATATTGCCTACATTTTCCGATCTCAACACAGTAAGACCATCATACCTCAAATCGCCACAAAATCTTAGGTTCAGGATTAGTCGCTCATAAAGACATGTTTTTCCAACTATCCATAAATATATCTGCTAAAATTAGGGATATTGGAGATCCCATTGCTACTCCTTCTGTTTCTTTATATTTATTTTCCTGAAACTCGAAGACTGTGGAGGTCAGGCACAGTTGTGCGCCTAATATGGTCTCATCAGTCGATAGCTTACTTCAATGAGTAAGTTCTGAGTCAATATTTAGTTGGTTTCTGACTGCTTCTAAGGCCATGTTGATTGTTATTATTATTATTATTATTATTATTATTATTATTATATGTCCCATGCGTTCCTAGTGGAACATAGGGATTCATTGCACTCTCTTCTCTCCAGTCTTCTCAACCTGGCCCCACCACTGCCCAGAAGCTTTCATTTCTTTCCCAAATGATCTCCTCTATGTCACCCTCACCTCCGACGTCCAATTCGTCGTTTCCCCTTTGGATCGCACTCGATGGACTGGTGCATGTGTCTCCGAATGGCTTTCTCAGTGTATCCCCAGTCCATCTCCACTTCCTTCCAGTGCATATTTGTTGGAGAATAGATTCCTCGTTCCCAGAGTTCCTTGTTGCTTATTCTTATTATTCTGGCCATCTGATCTTCGGTATCGAGCGAGCGTAGGTAGCTGTTGATGAATGTTTGTAGTTTATTGGAAATGCTTTTCGTGACACGCCAAGTTTCTGAATCATCCAGAAGCAGTGACTTGACTGACTTAATGTTGAAAATCCAGATCTTGTACTTTATGCTGAGTGCAGTAGATCTCCAAAGGCTATATTGATTTATATTTTAGTTTAAGGACTTGTTACATTGAAACTAACCACTTTTCATCTTCTATATGCTGGTCATTAAGCTTTAGTTTGAATTCGTAGAAGTTGACTAGTCTACAACTCGAAAGATTCCTAATATGACATGATATCATTGAAAAGTACTGCAATAGTTCATTTCTTGAAGAATTTCTGAAGTCAACTACCAGTTTTATAGGATAATCTGGTTATGATCCTTGATAGTACCTTATGGCTTCTGTAGCCTATAAGATCTTACCTATGATAGTGTTAACCGATTTCTTGACCTTTTCAATATGGTCCTGTTTGGATATATCCCTCAATTCTGTTGAAATAAAAGACAATTCAATGAAGAAAGTTTTCTTTTCAACGAATCATTTTCAAAAGCTGTACATCCTACTTATAGTTACAAGAAAACTTATATATATATATATATATATATATATATATATATATATATATCTGACTTTGAAAGTAGACTGTCCTAGACCACAGTGACCAGAGTTAACCGAGTGCTCATCAATCCAGCTGTCCTTTAAACAGCTATACAGTTTTCGGAGATGCGTTTAGACAGAACAGACTTTGTGCTGCTTATTTAACCACCTCAAAAAGAGCAAGTAACTTGGTTAACACACAGGGAACTGGTTCAGAGAGGTAGTCTATCCTTTACACACCCTCAAATTAGTTGCTAACTAGAGAAAACAATCTGAAGCTGAGCAGAAAAGAAGGTTTCTTCAGTGCTTTGAATAGTCGATTCTTCAGTATATCCTTTGAATCGAATATTCATAAACATTGTTATGAAATTCTTTAAGATTTCGTTTGTTGAAGTTATCTGATTTCTCCATGAGTACTTCTAAATGACCTTTATAAGACTTGACAATTACTATGTTATTGTCATTCAGTAGATTATTCAGGTAGGAATTGTTAAGTCTTGTTAATTTTCGATGTTTAAATGACTCTATATCACAGTATCTTGTATCAAGTAAACAAATCGAATATGGAATAACTATGATGTATCTTCTTCATGCCAAGAAACGACTTATTCTTCTATTGATTTTCTGTGCAGAAAACGATGGCATTGGATGAAGGTCACGCTATATCGTGAACTGACAAAAGTAAGAGATGTGAGCAGTTGGATTCTGACCTAGGGGTTTAATGGTAACCTGTTGGTTGCAAAACCTGGAAGTTCTGAGTTTGGTCCGTGATAGGGTCATGTATGCACACTGCTGAGAAATCGCATACTGGGATGAAACATCTGCCAAGTTATCCAACAGTTCCTCAAATAGTATCAGTTTATGATGAATATCAACCTGGAGTCGATAAACAGATTCTCACAAGCTTGAGAATTTGAAAACGTTTACTATTTCTTTTCAATTACGTCATGGTCATCAGTTCCATTCAAATATATAGGTTTTACATTTAGTATAGCAAGACCATTAGTGTTAGTGGGCTAATTAAATGTAAAACATATATATTAATGTAGAGTAGATGATGAAGGCCTAATTGGGAAGAAACATTTCTTTGCTCAATGAGCCAGCCTTCGGATATATGAATAGGATTTGCCCACTGTGGTAAAGCATAATTGTATTATATTTCTTCCTTTTAGGTGTATCACACAGTGACATAGTATTAAGTACATACACACACACGCATAGTTGCATCGCCTCAAGCTGCTATACTTCACAGAAATCCTCAAAGAATAGGTGAATAGGAAATTAGTGATATCAAACCAGACAAAGTAGTGTGAGAGAATAAACAATCTGAAAATAAAGATTGGTGTGAATATTCAAGGTTTAGAAGATACCAAAGAGTGAATATTTCTGTCCCATCAAGACCGATTCCCACCCATGTTACCAAGAATCAGTCCTGAACCACTGATACCTTTCTTCTCGGAGACCCTAACCAGGCAGTCTACATCTCTCCACATGACCCAAGCCAACCGTAAGGAACTTCATCGACTGGTGTGACGTCTTGGTTTGATAGGTATATGGGGGAAGTCTTCTCAGCACAACCCTCAAACAGTCACCTCTCTTTAGGAAACACTAAGAGGACGTAGCTTATCTGAATCGTGTGATAAATTAGTGCAATACACATTGAACCATCTAATCACACACCAACTTACTTGTCATGCATATATATATATGGATTACAACAAATAGATAAATGGGTTTCAGAAAATCATCGATAATATACAAGGGTCAAATTGTTAGTTTAGACTGGAAGAAAGATATACTATGTTATTCACACTTCATACTCAAAATAGCACTAGTAATGGAGGTTCATTGAAAGGAACAAATTGTTTTTGAATACACGAAATATGTTGAAACCTCACTATTCTGTAGCTTTAACAAACATAAGTTTATGTCCCCAAAATGATTTTCTGAGTTGGTTTTCAAGATGTATACAAATCAGTCTTGTAATAAAGTTGGATATCTATTGCTTGGATCTATGGGGTCATTCAACTTGATTTGCTCTTGTAGTCATTTTCGAATATGCACCCTTTTGGTCTTAGCCACACTGATCAACATGTATTCCCTA